GTCTGTCTGTCTGTCTGTCTGTCTGTCTGTCTCTCTCTATCTCTCTCTCTTTCTCTCTCCCCCCCCTCTCTCTCTCTCTCTCTCTCTCTCTCTCTCTCTCTCTCTCTCTCTCTCTCTCTCTCTCTCTCTTTATTTCTTTTTTGTGTTCCTATTTCTCACTCTATCTCTTTCTTAATTTCTTTTTTTCTCTCCATTCCCCTGTCCCTTTCTTATTTTTCTCTGTGTCTTTCTTTGTGTTTTTGTTTTTTTGTCTCTTTGTTTCTTTCTTTCACTCTCCCATATTTTGTCTTTATTTACCTCTTTCTCTCTTCCCCAGTCTGTCTGTAAGTCTCGTCTCTTTTCCTCTACCTATTTCTCTATCTTTTACTCTCTTTTCTGTTTTTGTCTTTCTGTATGTCTCTATCTCTCTCTCTCTCTCTCTCTCAGTCTTTCCATCCCCCACGCCCACCCACGTCCACTCACTTATCAGATGTAGGCCACAACAATAATAATGTGTATTATCTGATTCCTGTGACATCTCACGCGAACACTTCTTTACCGTTATCCCGTCAAGCCTTAAGACGTCTGTCAACGTTTGTACAATCCCGTTATCAAATATGTAAATGTCTATTCAATAAAGATTAAATCAATAAACAAAGCCGTGCCACTTTTCCGATTATTTATGAAAATACGCAACTGCAAAAAGGATGGCTACTTCTCTTCTTCCTTCCTCTAAGGGCCAATAGAAGCAATCAAGATGAATTAAGCGTGAACTACCTTTGCATAACACAAGAGAATAGGTACGTCTGCACCTCAATAAGAAGGTTACATTTTGCACCTTGTTTTCTAAGCCCCCGTAATTTCATTACGTAGTCTAGCCTGTTATTTTTCAAATGATTGATCTCAGTTTCCCGTCATTATCTCTTTCGTTCCGTCTTCGGCGTTGCCTCTTCTCCGTTCCTGATTTTGCAACAAATCTGACAGCTTTACAATGATTTAATAATTTTGTCCACAGTAAGTATGCACGAGGGGGACCCTGCTTTCATCAGTGTGGCTATAGTATGAGTTTGTGGTTGTATGTATATATGTTTGTGTGTGTGTGTGTGTGTGTGTGTGTGTGTGTGTGTGTGTATGTGTTTGTATTTGTGAATGTGTGTGTGTTTGTGTGTTTGTGTGTGTGTGTGTTTGTGTGAGTTTGTGTGTGTTTGTGTGTGTGTTTGTGTGTGTTTGTGTGTGTGTTTGTGTGTGTGTGTGTGTTTGTGTTTGTTTGTGTGTGCTTGTGTGTGTATGTGTGTAAGTATGTGTTTGTAAGTGTGTGTTTGAGACTGTTTTATAGTTATTTGTTTTTCTGAACAAGTTTCATAAAATGTGCATTTTGTCTTTTCTTTTTCTTATTTTGCCTCTCTCTTTATTATACTACCATTTCCTTTTTTCAAAAATAATGAATCATGCTTATCACTTAGCGTGCTTGAGTTGGCAGGGAATGTGAAATCTATTTTAATATTAACCGCAGTAAATTAATACTGTTACTTTTAGAAAGCATGATTAAAACATTTGAAGTGATCAAATGAAAAACAGGCTAAGGCACTTAAATCCTATTATGACTTAGTCTATTTTACATATTTATTATGGTTGACTTATGGTTTGCTCTTAACTTGATTCGCAGTTATAAAAATACAGTTTCTGTGTAGTTTTTGAGCTGACTGATTTCTTAAGGATGTTTGCATGACGTATAGTTTTAAATTGAAAGCTAATGCCCTGGGTTTTTCTTAAAGGACCTAACCTCTTTTTCTCCTGACCCCCTCAATAGGTGTACTTTGTACAGATTTCGCAATTTTTGCTTAAGATCTTTCCTGCAAAACAAGAAAACAAGAAAACAAACGGAAAGAAAATCCCCCCCCCCCCTAACCTGTTTCCGACGCAAAATCTTGAAACAGGCTCGCAGAACTCTCAGACACGTATGGGGTCATACAAATACTCTTCTCCCAGTCCTTGAGGAATTTGCAGTGATCGATTTTTGTCCCAGCATCGGGAGATTATTCACACCAGGGAACTCTGCAAGGAAGACACACACTCTATTCAAGACCTGTAAATAAAAAAAAATGCTTGCACCTTTGCATTGCAAGTATATAGGCTTTAAAAAGACCTTGGAACGCTTTTTCGTTATAGATTGAGAGGAGCGGGCGTCCTTTGAAAGACGATATTTTTTTTCTCTCTCCTTTGGAATGTGGGGCCAGGGTTGTGATGGGGTGTAAGTAAAAGATAAAAAAGACATAGAAGAGGAGAGAGAGGAAGAGAGAAAGAGAGAGAGAGAGAGAGAGAGAGAGAGAGAGAGAGAGAGAGGGGGGGGGAGAGGGGGGGAGAGAGAGGGGGGAGGGAGAGATAGAAAGATGGGTAGACAGACAGATAGATAGATAGATAGATAGATAGTTAGAGAGAGGGGGAGAGAATGAAAGAGAAAAAGAAAGAGCGAGAGAGAGAGAAGGAGAGAGAGAGAAAGAGAAAGAAGGAGATAGATAGAGAGAGAAGATAAAATGGAAATAAAACGTCAAAATATTCAATATTTTTTGCACGTGGCTATCTTTTGGAGGAAGATGGTGGTTGGTCATTGTTCGCAATTCTGTTGATAGTAGATTATGTTTCGTTAGAGAGCAAACGATTAAGCGAGGTGAGGCTATGCCAATGATAATTAAAATGACAATGACAATGACAATGACAATGATAATGATAACGACAATGGCAATAATAATGACAACGACAATGGGTAAGCAGCCTTTACTTATCTCTCAGGGGGGGGGGGGTGGATTTGCCTTTTTTGTCAACAATGGCAGTGATGTTGCAACGGTCAGGCGCACTCGCACACTCACGCAACAATAAGTAACAGTTAAATATACATCTCATCTCCTAAAACACCTCCGCTGTGTAAGCATTCTCTCTCTCTCTCTCTCTCTCTCTCTCTCTCTCTCTCTCTCTCTCTCTCTTCCTCTCTCTCTCTCTCTCTTTTTTCTCTCTCTCTCTCTCTCAATCTCTCTCTTTCACTTTCTCTCTCTATTTTTCTTTCTTTCTCATTATCTTCCTTTTTTATCTCCTTTCTTTCTCTCTCTAATTTTTACTCTTTCTCTCTTTCTTTCTCTATCAGTCTATCTTTCTATCCATCCATCTATCTATCTATCTATCTATCTATCTCTTTATCTATCTATCTATCTATCTATATATCTATCTATCTATCTATCTATCTATCTGTATATCTGTCTATCTATCTATCTATCTATTTATTTTTCTTTCTATTTATTTTTCTTTCTTTTCATCCATCAATCTATCTATCTATCTATCTATCTATCTATCTATCTATCTGTCTATCTATCTATCTATTTATCTATTTATCTATCTATCTATCTATATCCATCCATCTTTATTCAGTCTATTGAGTTCTTCCTTATTTAGATTTCTCAGTTTACTCTCTGCTTCAGATGAAATCAACTCAATTTTGGGGTTGGGGGATATAATTTTGACTTTCATTCTTTTTTAAAATTAAGCATCATGAAAGCAGATTAAGCTAAAAATAGAATTTTAATAGACAAATAAGATTTCGGCTATATGGCATTAAAGGGCTTAATTGTAATAGGTCGATAATGAGTGCAAGCTAAACAAGATAAGTAGCTCATTTAGCTATTTAATTGTGATCAAGAATTTTATTTTAAAATTAAAATTGTAACTGCTGACCATTCTGGTTCATTTTTCGGGTATTGAAAACCATACTGGGCGCTCACGAATTAGGTGAGAAAACCATGCCAAATATGGAAAGCATTGTCGCCCTATGGAGAATGTATCATTACAATTAATGTTCACACTGACTGGTAATGAAGAAGCAATTAAAACTGAGATTATTCTGTAAATGTATCCCGAGCTGTAGATCAGTTTACCCATTATAACTAATTCTGGCGGTGGAAATAACGCGCACTGAAAATTTCTGCAAGATTGAATTTGCGTGCCGAAACGTATCTTCCATGATTTGTTCTCGTTACCTTCTCCAGTGACGCACAATTTAGCCGGGGGAATAAGCGGTTGTCCACTCCAGCTGTCACAGGCCTGGGAAGCAGGAAACGGACCTGGCAGGGAAATGAATGGAAATGGAGGTGCGCCACGCGATACCCTGGTCTTTTGGAGAAGTTGAAATGAGTACCGGTGGCCAAATCGGAGTCGCGGGATGGAGAAGAAATTGCAAAATTGTTTCCGAGAGAGGCACAGGGCGTGGAAGTGGGTTGGCAGGAGTAGTAAAAGAAAAAGGAGCAGGTTGAGATCAAGGATGAGAATACGGAGAGACGGAAGAAAAGAGGAGCATGGGAAGGAAGAGAAGAATGAAGAGGGGGAGGGGG